AAGAAAAGGGGGGGGGGGGGGGGGGGAATCAGACATCCTATCATTTAGAAAGTGAAGAGATCCCGATAATAGCCCTTTGTTTGGAAACTAGGGAAGGAAAAGGAATGGAGGCTTGGCTAAGTTTCCCATTTCCTGGTTTGGTTTGACAAAAGGAGGAAGGAAATACTGGAGGAACCTGTACATTGCTGGGGTTTCAAACCAATTTAAGGAACAGATACTGGAGGACCTGCACTTTAAATTAGGAGCTCTTCCTTTCGAATACCTTGGAGTCCCATTGTCCTCTAGAAACCTGACAATAAGCCAATGCATGCCATTAATAGATTGAATTGTAGCCAGAATCAGATGCTGGACTTCTACATTTCTATCTTACTCTGGGAGATTGCAGCTTATAAAGAGCATACTGTTTGAAATGCAAACATATTGGAGTCAGGTGTTGTAACTTCCTAAGAAGGTGCACAAACAAGTTAGCAGTATATGTAGGAACTTCCTGTGGACTGGATCTAATGAATACAGTAGGAAGGCTCCTATTGTTTGGGATAAGCTCTGCCAGACAAAATCAACCGGAGGACTTAATATACTTCAGTTCTCAGTTTGGAACAAAGCAGCTATTACTAAGCTTTTGGGCTGTTGCTAAGAAGATGGATAAACTATTGTTTTATGGGTACATGTTCACTACAATAAAGCCAGAGATCTGCAATGCATGGACACACCAAGGCAAGCAAGTTGGCTAGTCAAAAAGATATTTGATGCAAGATCATGAATGACTACAGGCATAGAACAACTCAGTAGTTTGTGATTGGAGACGGTCAGACGGATTCAAAATCAAGAAAGCCTACAATGCACTCATGCCTCAGCAACCAAAGGTCCCCTGGAAAACTCTAGTGCTACTTAAAGGACTGATACCTCGACATAAATTCATCCTATGGATGGCTGTTCAGAACAGACTGTCAACTGCTGACAGGATTGAAAGATGGGTGTCCAAGTGGATACAAAATGTGTGCTATGTTCTGGTAATGTTGAGGAAACACACAGTCACTTGTTCTTTGACTGTCCATACTCCTCATTTATCTCGTAGAACCTACTACATTGGATGGGGATTACTAGACAGAATGGACAATGGGAAGATGAAGTCAACTGGATATCCAAAAGAGTCAATAGCAAAAATACGAAATGGACAGTGTTGGGAGTTCTGTTTGCAGCTTCTGTTTACCACATATGATCGAAAGAAATAGTAGAAGATTCCAACAAACCAGCAGAAGCAAGGAGGACAGAACAAGAGAGATAGCTCTGCAGTTACACATTGTAGGCCAGGGTGGTTATTATAAATGGAATCACATATTGGGACAATTAAATAGTTATCCTTGCTAGATAGCAAACAATCCGCTAAATGATACTGCTTCATTTATACCCTTCCTAGAAGGTGAGAAATAGAGCAGTTGATAGTGAGAGTTTTTTCCTTAGAGTTATGTTTTGGTTATTTTTGCTGATCCTGACTCTATAGTCCAAAAGAGCAGGTTGTGTATATAGTTTACTTGGTTAAATAGAATTTTCAGTTTGACCAAAGAAAAAAAAAAGAGGATGGAAATTGAAGTGTAAAAAAAAGGAAATTGAAGTGAGAAAAATATGTTCCTCCTCGATCTGCTAACGTCTCTCTTTCTTCTAGGAGGGAATTGGATCATAAAATTTTAACAGGAGAATCACTTTCTGTCATCTCTTCTATTTTACCTTTCCTCGCTTCCTTCCTTCCCTTAGTTTCCGGACAAAGTGTAGAATCTTTATATGTGCATGGTAATACCTAGAAGAATGGTAACATCATCAAATAGTTTGGAATAGTTGATGGCTAGAAATCCCACGTAATGGCTTCCAAACCATGGAAACCTCAATATGTGCTTTATAAAAGTAGGTAAGGTTTCAAAGTAGCTGGAATGTATGTTCCAGCAGGTGTAATCATTTCACACATTGTTTGCTTTTCCTTCTGTTTATCAGATGTCATAGTTTTGGGTAATTACTTTGACCTAACCAACGCTGATTTTATCTTCTTACCCTTGTTGGATTTGTTGTTCTCGATCTTCAACTTTGTCATGTAAAGTAGTCTTTTTACGATAGTATATATTGGTTTTGCCACAAAGCTCTTAACTACTCTTTCACTGCCAGGTTATTCCAGCTACAGTAATGGACAACTTCAATCTAGTGGAATCCTTGGTATCTCGTATCCTTGTGTATCTTATACTGATGGGTTTTTTTGGTTGTTGAGAAAGAGCTTATATCGACGAGTTTCTGATGCAATTTTGAATTATGCTTCATTAAGGTCTATATTTGCTACATGTTTGACCTTATGTTGTTCTTAACAAGTTTGTTTCCCAAGATATGACTGATATTGATGAGAAGCAACTAGTTTTGTATGCTCAGATGGCAAACCTTGTCAATCTGATTCTTCAGTGGCCTGAGATCAGTATAAAGGAGATTGCAGAAAAGTTTTCTAAGGTATAGATTGTGTGCCAGATACAGCATTTCGCTTTATGTGTCTAAAAACCGTGCAACCTTATTATGTGTTGCATAGGCCCTGTCCATCCATAACGTCCCCTTATTCACTTGTCTGGAAGCATAATCCTTTTTCTTACAAAATTTATTGTTTAACCTGGTGTATCTCTGCTGTCTTTTCTGAGCATGGGCAGCTCTCATGTAATGCACATACGATTTGTGATGCTGAACTGAAACCCCTGGGGACAGGCCTTTATCCGGTGGTTTCTATAATCAACCACAGGTAATTGTTGTACTGCCTCCGGTCCACTTAGATTGATTTTTTGGATTTTTTCACACACATTAAGGAATTCACATTTTAGCATTAATTAACAAAAATTGACCATATTAACCTTAATTTGTTCGTTGGAAATATAACAAATACTCCTAGGCTCTTCACTCCAAGGGTAACTTTGGAAAAAAGAAGTTAATTCCTTCTTGATATCTGAAATAATCAAATATTATGGACCACAAAAAAAATCAATTAAAGTGGACCGGAGGGAGTAGTAACTTTCTGTCTAGCTAGTATGTTTATCTCTCTAAATGGCCTTTTGTGTTATAGTTGTTTGCCGAATTCGGTTCTAATATTTGAAGGACGAACGGCTGTTGTCCGAGCAGTGCAGCATATACCCAAAGGTACTGAGGTAATACATTGTTTTCCAAATAATATCGATCAACCTCTATTAGTATAAATTATCAATTGAAAAAGTAGGTTATCATTCTGAAAACACAGCATAAGTTAGTTATAGAAAAGGAAGAAGCATTGAGTGTTCCACTGAATGATGGAAATCAACCACCAAGAGGTTGATATCTGAGATAAGATGGTTTTCATTTGACCAATAACTCCAATTTTGAGCAGGGTGTTGTGTTAACGAATTTAATAAGAATGTTTACTTGTAATGATATGCATGTCATGGTGATGATGTACATGATCATCGAGCATTTAGATCTTTGTCCTTGACAGTTGAATGTCCTTTTGGAAGTTAATTACTTTAGGATTCTTGTTTGCTTTTTTGAGTACTTAAGCATCTGTGTGGAGTTCAAAAGGAGACTGTAGAAAAGGTGGAAGAGAAAAAGCAGTGCACAATGAGTGAAGGTGATTGTCTGGTTGCTGAGCTTCCAATGGTTCTGATGATGTTGTATGTTAAAGCAAAAACTTCCACTGGTTAAAATTGGGCCAATTTGGAAAGTTTAGGTTTGACACATTGCTGTAGGATTTTGTTAAATTTGACATTATTCTGAGGGATTCCTCTCTAAAATTGCTCCTGCTCTCTGTATGCGGGCTTGGGCGTGTTGCATTTGTGCAAGTACAACAAGTTGATGGATGATAAGGAGTACATTTGGGATGTTATTTACTGGTTTTAAACATTAAAACTAAAATCCCAAGTAATTTTATCGGCATCCAGCAATCACTAACTTTCTGATTTACTTGATTGGCTTTCAAAGGTATTGATAAGTTATATAGAAATGGCTGGAAGCACTGCAACTCGTCAAAAGGCTCTTAGAGAACAGTATTTTTTCTCCTGCACTTGCATTCGTTGCATAAAGTTGGTATGTACGTTGTATTGTCTAATTAGTCCTCGATAATTAGATTTCTGATCACAAACTTATCATCCTGCTCATTATAAGGGCCAAAGCGATGATATCCAAGAAAGTGCAGTTCTGGAGGGTTATAGATGCAAGGATAAGAGATGCAGTGGTTTCCTGCTTCGCGACTCTGGTATATGATCCCTGTGTCAACCTCATCTTATATCTACATGATTGATCTGGTCTGCCTGTGACTTCTCAGTTTCTTGTGTTTGCAGGTGATAAAGGATTCAGATGCCAATTGTGTGGACTCTTTAGGGACAAGGAAGAAATAAAAATTATTGTTAATGAAATTGGAACAATGTCAGAAAAAGCTTCGTTTTCACTTTCCAATGGACGTATCCTTTGAAGCCAGTGGCTGAGAATATCTCAACTATGTTACAGTGTATAAACACTACATTATAGCCTTCTATTTACTAATTTTAGAATAATGATCATATTTATGCTACTTCTAAAGATTATTTGAGCTAAGAGTCTCCTCTTTAAGGCGGCACAAGCTACAATCTTATGTCATAAGAGTGGAAGCGAGGAGGAGAAATGTTCCGTTAATTAAATTTAAACAGTACTTAGATTATATTTATTTAATTTTGTTGGGAAAAGAGACTGCTTTGACAGAATACAGAAAAGAAAGATGCAAGCGTATTGTATAAAATGATTGAGAAACTTCAGCAGAAGCTGTACCATCAATTCTCGGTCAATCTGATGCGCACACGGGAGAATCTTTTAAAGGTTGGATTTCCTTTCACTGCAGTGTCTAACAGAAGAATGTTCTCATCTATGTTTTTTCATTGAGGAAATTTCTTTTTGCTGTCCCTAAGAAGATGCTGACATCAATCTTGTTCCAGCCATCTTTAATTAGTTAATATTTTATTGGACCTGAAGAATGGATGTGTATTCATTTAGATATTGATGGAGCTGCAAGATTGGAAAGAGGCACTTAAGTACTGCAGATTAACTATCCCAGTTTACAAGAGTAAGTTGGCTTCAAGAGAATTCTATTCAGCAATCACTATTTCAATGCTCTCTCTTGATTTAGTATAATATAGCAGTAAGCCAGGTTCAAGACTTAAAAACTACTTTTCCCGTCCCAAATTAATCTACCCTAGGGCTGGCATGTGGGCTGGTCCGGTCCCTAAACGGGCCAAATGGGCCGGACCAAACGGTCCCGGTTCCGGGCCGGTCCCAAATTAAACGGTCCTGGGCAAATTGTCTTTTTGTAGGAACCGGCGCGGGACTGGGACCACGAACTCATGGTCCTGGGCTAAACGGGCCGGGCCTGCGGGCTAAGTGGGCCCACCGACTAAATTTTTTTTAAACAAAATAAATAAATTGAAATTAGAGACAAAAAGATGTTAAAAAAATATCTAAGGCATTAGCAATGTCTTGTAAATTTTATTATAGAATTGCGACCTAAATTTTATAATTCAAATTTAAAGACAAAATATTGTAAAGAGATATTCAAAGCAATGCCTTGTAATTTTATTATAGCATTAAAAAAATATGGAAATATCTTTCTTAGTCTTCCTCCTATGGAATGAGCACAACAAGGTGTTAATACCACCATTGAGAAGAAAAAGAAACTAATCAAGATGTGCCAAAATACAAGTTACATAATACATACTAATTTTTGTTCATACAAGTTACATGGTATCTCTTACAAACTTCATAAATCCTTCAAGGTCCGGAGGAATTTCCGTTGGTGGTGGCCGAAAAGTAGCTTGGTCATCGCCATTGTCGGGCGAAGCAGCATCCTCCGCAGGATCAACTAGCATTTCTTCGTAAGCTTCGTCTTCCTCTGGTTGTGATTCAGCAAGTCCAAAATTTCTTCTTTCCGAACGGTCCAATCTCTGAAAAGTACTGATTTTTCCAAGCTCTCCCTCATAGACGCTCTATAATCACCGAGTTGTAGTTTTGCTTAAATGAAAGCGCTCTTCGATGCCACTATTGAAGCTTGAATAGTTAAAATGTCTCGGGCCATCCTTGAAAGAACCGGAAAGTGTTTCCACCATTGCAAAAGATTAAAGGAGCCGTCGGGATTCACTTCCTCAATTCCCTGCGACAAATAAACTTCAAGCTCATTTAGTTGGGAAAAATCATTACTACTAGAACCTTGAGAACCCCTAAACCCCGTCCAAGCACTAAGTGCTCTTACTCCCGCAGTTCTTTTAGATGACTGAGAATCAGAAGAAGAAGGAGTTGGAACATTTGGTCTAGCATGATTTAATGCAACTTGATAAGCATTATAAATAGTTTGAGCATTTATTCTAATTGAGGCTATTGCTTCCGGAAGTCGAGACAACTCATCATCTTCAAGTGCTAAACCATCATAAACAGTTTCATACCAAAATTGAGGAGCTCCTAATTTCATACAAGGATTTAACAAAGCAGCAACACCATAAATAGGAGGAATAGGGAAAAAAAATATTTTTTAAACTTTTTTCTCATAGAATCAATAGCAAGTTTAAAAAATTCCTCGCCCTTTGAAAAATGAGCAAACAAATTAGCAAGTTCTGCAATATAAACTAAACAGTTAGAAATAGTAGGATAATATTGCCCAGAAAATTCATTTGTAGCAATATGAAATTTTTCTAAAAAATCAACAAGCATTTTAACATTAGCCCAATCCCCATTCGTAAGGTGTTCATCATCATCACTTACATGTGCATTAAACGTTGAGTTTATGGGGTTTCTATATTCATATGCAACAACCAAACTTTCATACATGTAATTCCATCTAGTTGGACAAAGTTTAGGAACCTTTCTTTCTCTTATGCCACATTCATCGCATCTTTTAAAATATTCTCTAACTCTACTTCTACGGTTTGAATAAAAAAGCCAGTTAAGAGCCATTTTAACCTTTTCAATTTCAATATTTAAAATTCTCATACCATCACCCACAATTAAATGGTAAATATGACAAATACATCTAACATGAAAAATGTTACTAAATGCAGGATTTAGCGTCGTGGTAAGCAAGCCTATAGCATTTGTGTTACTAGTAGCATTATCCATTGAAACTGACATTATTTTATCACTAATGCAAAAATATCTGCAAAAATCCGTAACTGTGTTAGCAATAAAATGCCCCGTGTGACGTGAATTAATTGTTCTATAAGCAATGCGCTTTTGCATTATCCAATCCTCATCAATCCAATGACTGGTAACAGTAAGGTAATCACAGTCATTGCCACTTCTACCAATATCAGTTGTAATAGCAACACGACAATTTATATGAGTATATAAATAGCGCAAATATTGTTCATATTCATGCTTATATTTATAAATATCGCTCTTTACGGTTGTGCGAGGAAAACCTTTATAAGTAGTATTTTAATTTTTTCTAATATAATGCACAAAGTTAGGGTCAGAAGGAAAACTATAGGGTAAACACATAACAATTATCATTTTTGCCAATTGACTCTCGGTAAATTGTAATAAACTATTATCGTTATCAAGAATAGCAGGTGTAGGATGGATATGGGGTTTGGTTCGGGGAGCCGGGGGCAGGGGAGGAGGAACAACATGACCACTCGATTCGCCACTCTTGGATTTTCCCTTATTTTTTCCAAAAAGTTTTTTTAAGGAAGCCATCTTAATTAATCAAGTAATAGTAAATAAATAAATTAACAAAACTATAATATTAAAACATAAGAGTTGGAACGAGTTTACTGAATTGATGAACAACTTGTTGAAAATTGATTATCGTTGAAGACTTGAAGACTTCAATTCACCAACTTCACAATTTTTTCACAAATTGTAACAACCTCAATATTCTTTTACTATTTTTTGGAATAAAGTAAGCAATAGTAGCAAGCATAGAAGAAAACTAGAGAGAGATTGTGATAGATTGATATTAGTTTTGTAAGAAAAATGAAAGAATGAGGGGTATTTATAGTTGAAAATAGGGAAAAGGTGTAACTATAAAAAGTTTGGGTTAAAACAAAGTTGGGG